GCAGATAAACATCAAATGTTTTTAGTCGTTTCTTGAAGATGGTTAAGGACTCAGCTGCTCGGATTGATTTGGGCAGGGCATTCCACCAGGAGGGAACAGTTAATGAAAAAATATATATGATATGATATTTTGTGGTCTGTTTTACAGCGTTAATTTATATTTATTTCGTCGCTGAATGGTGCGATTGACCAATCAGAATCAAGTATTATAGGGAATGTAATGAAAATAATAATATACCCTGTCAGGATAATAGCAAATGATGTTATTTTGCGTTTCATTTATACATTTATACATCTTTTAACATCTTCGAAAGCATTTTTGTTAAAGTTTACCTAATAAACTGGTAATAAAATGGTATCTAGATGTTGGCAGTGTGAGTGTTTTGACATATAAAGCTGTCATACCTCATGGAAGACTTGGGTTTAAGTCCAGCCCAGGTCATGTTCTCTTCCTAGTCCCCTCCCTTGCTGACTTACTGTCTTTATTACTGTGTATCTCAATAAAATAGACAGTTTATGGGTTCCATCAGTTCAGTGCACATCACACATTACATTTGCTTTATGTTTTTAAGATGCGATTCGCTGGATTCCGAACACCAAAATCTTTCATGGCCTTTGTGATGAGAAGATGGAAAATCTTAATGGTGCTGAATGTGTTTACGATGGCCGGCTTCATCACTTTTTGGGGCAAGTGCAATTTACGCACAACCAAAGCTGTTGGTCAACAGGCGGTGGCTGCTGATGTGAGAGGACAGACGCATCTGAATGGATCTGCTCAGGAGACCAGCATCACTCATGATGTGCTCTTAAAGAGACTGGGATCACTGGAAGATGTGGTGTACAGACAACTGAATGGTAACTTCTTCATTATCATAAAAAACTGCATTATTCACAAAAATGCCCTTTTAACAGAACAAGAAAGCCATGAGTCATTTGTGTTGAATAGGTTTGTCCAAGTCTCTTGGACTCATTGAAGGTTTTGGAGGCCGAGGTAGAGGAGGTCTACCAGCAACACTTATGCCAGAGGAAGAAAAGGAGGCCAAATACCTGAGGGAGAAATATGGCTACAATGCATTTCTGAGTGACAAAATCTCTCTGGATAGATCTATTCCAGATTATCGACCCAGCAAGTGAGTGTCACTGTTTTTTTTTATTTTTACCCTGAAAAATATCTATACAAAAACCTACAGTTTTTGCTCTTGTTGTAATATGGAATGAGTTAACTGACTTAGCAAAGTTATGGCATAGTTTTGTATACTTTGTCATATTTGTCATTTAATCACAAAAACCAACTGCAATAGTTTAGCTAGAATGTCTAGAACCATTTGCTTAAGAGATTTTCCTTTTACCAAGATTAAAAAGTGACTCAGAATCACAGGAAAGTGACATTTACTGTTTCTAAGTTCAGTTAAGTGAGGTTTTATAAAGAAGCTTCATTTTTGAGACCCACTAGGCTCTGTAATTGTTACAGTGAAAATGTGCAGATAAGCAAAGCCAAAAGTGGCTTTTCTTTTGTTAGGAAGTGAAAGGTTTCACAGCCTTGTGTACCAAAGGTTCAAAGAGGTGGTTTGTTTCAAAGACAACAAGATCCTCTGTATCCATGTATGTGTTTTTATAGATGCAAAAAGGCTTTTTATTCCCGTGACCTGCCACAGATCTCCATGATTTTCATCTTTGTAAATGTGAAATCTAAACTTTTTTTTTTACATATTGGAAAAGTATACAACTTAAAAAACCTAACCAGCCTAATATGGTTTACTGGTCTCAATTGGATTAAACTGGTTTTAGCTGGTCACATCCTACCAGGATGGTTTAGCTGAATTTCCAGCCTGGCAAAACTGGTGACCATCTGAAAGTGATTCAAACCCCTCTAAAAGAGGTTTGAGAACACCTAAGACTAGTATTGCAAGGAATGCTGTCACATGCGGTTTTGGCCCTGTTGACACCTGGTATATTAAGATACATTTTCAGTGATCTGGTCACAAGTGGTTAGCCAAGGTGCATTACTGTTTACACCTGTGCTGTTTGTAATTGCCCCCTCATTCACTATTCCCTACATTAGTCCTCTAATATAGTCCAGTTGAAGGAGTAAATGAAAACAAATGAGCAAATTCGTGCGCTATGTGCACTGGAAGGGCTGCCACTTTTGCATAGTTTGCTTGCTGCTTAGTAAACATTTGAAACTAAGCAAACTGTCAGCTCCAGTAGTAATGAAAATATTTATCTTGAACTCTTTCATGGAAACTAGCATGTATAACCCACATTGGACAAGCAGTTTGGAAAATGGATGAATGGATGATTCAGCTGCAGGCGCCATCTTCTGGCGAGACGCGGGAATTAATTCGGTACAACCCTAACATTGCATTATGGGTATTCTCTAGCTGTTGAGTGTACATTGGTTGTACATTCGTTATTGCGGTGCATCATGGGATTGAATGTGTGAAATTGATAACATCCACTATGGTTTTGGACACCACTACAAATGGCTGTCCCCTCAAATAGTGCCTATTTAAGGGTATGGGGGCGATTTTAGACACAGCCCTGGTCTTAACATGTGCTTTAAATGTGTCTTCTGTGACTACTTGAAGACTACATCAGGGGTGTTCAATCCTGTTCCTGGAGATCTGCTTAACTGCTCCAACACACCTGCCTGTATTTATCAAGTGCTCCTGAAGATCTTAATTAGCTGGTTCAGTTGTGCTGTGTTTGATCAGGGTTGGAGCTGAACTTTGCAGGATGGTAGATCTCCAGGAACAGGATTGGGCACCTCTGCTCTACATCCTTTTCATGGATGCGCCAAATGCGATACACAAATACAATTGAATTAAATGGAGCCATTACGCTGCTTACGAGGGAGTGGGAAACCAAGAGAATGGAAAGGGTACAAATGGTAACGCAATTGTAATCAATGTGTTTTGGCACAGCATAGCGAATGTGGAATACATTTTTTTGGAGTGCTTTCTCAAAAGAAGCCCAAGGCGAGTCTTCGAATGCATTTGTCCACATGAACGTCTGCACTACGAAATCAACCCTTTCATAGTGGGCCCTGTTCACAGATGTATTTAGTGTTGTGTTTTCATGAGCAAACCAAACAGATATGAATACCATGTGTAAACAGAGTTTCAGTTCATGTTTCCTCTGTAGGTCCATCTAATTGGCTGATGTGAGGTGAGAAACCAGCCAACACATTCGCAAGCCAGGATTAGATTTAGCTCCACAGCAGAGTTGAAGAAGTGTTATTAGCACTGTGCAATACAGCTTTGCTTATAATGATCTAACCTCTACATCCCCTTGTCAGGGCTGAACCAGTTCTGTCTAGAATCAAAGAGAACCACAAGAGGATCATACTGCCCTCCATAGATAACATTAAAGACGAGACGTTTGAGCTGGAACGCTATGAGAACTCAGGCCATGGTTATAACTGGGAGCTCTGGTGTATGTATATCAGCCCACCGAAACAGTGGTGGGATGAAGGAGACACTTCTGCACCTATCAGGTAGGATCCTACTGGACTTTCATCCATTCTGAACACAGTCCCGGGTTTCATATTTTTCATTTACTTTTGGGATTGTTCACCCAAAATGAAAATTTTCATGAATTACTAACCCTCATGTCGTTCCAAACCTGAAAGACATTCGTTCATCTTCGGAACACAAATTAAGATATTTTTGATGAAATCCGAGAGCTTTCTGACCCTGCATAGACAGCAACGCAACTGACGCGTTCAAGGCCCAGAAAGGTAGTAAGGACATCGTTAAAATAGATTATAAAGAAATGATTATAAGAAATATATAAGAAATGATTGGACAAGTACAGAACACAAAGAGGGCGCAACCTCTTTATAGCAGGACTTGCTTGTCCAGCTGTGGAAATGTCACTTTATATATCTTCTCTGGTTGTTTTAAATCCTCTGAAACATACAAAAAGGTATAGAAGGAAAATACACAGGAGTATTTTTACGTGTTTCACTCAAAGGCTGAAACTAAACAGAGTGCATTGAAAGTTTATGTGACTGTACAAAGTACATTAATATTTAATGATGTTGGCTTGTTTGGTTTGTGATTGGTTTTCTGTTGCTAAACAACTGGCCATGATATTCTAGCACAGCATTGGTTCACACTGTGTTCCTTTGGCACTGCCGTTCAGCACCCATGGTTATGAAAAAAGTATGAAAGTAGCTTAATGCAAAGTGGTCTTAATATAGTGTAAACAGTGCTTATAAAATAAAATATATTTTAGTAGTTAAAAGATACATTTTACACTGCCACTATTCTCAATATATTACATTATTTTCAATTATTTATACTTATTTTTTCAATATTGACATTCATTATTTCTTCGTTGATTATTCAGTATATTAGAGAAGAAACAGCATTGAAAATAAGTGTAAAATCTGTATTTTTAGGACGCCTGCAATGATAGGCTGCTCTTTTGTGGTAAACCGGGAATACTTTGGGGAGTTGGGCCTACTGGACGCAGGGATGGACGTGTATGGAGGCGAAAATATAGAGCTGGGAATCAGGGTTAGTATGCCACCCACATCCATCCGCTAAAGTAGAGCATTCATAACTTAGCCTCCCTACGCTCAGTGCACAGAGCCTTCATTTGAAAAGAATTTTAGTTTTTTTCTTCTAAAATTATGCCAGAACTGAAGTTTGATAGGTGTATGTGTATTTTTAAATCCCAGGTTTGGCTGTGTGGGGGAAGCATGGAAGTTCTGCCTTGTTCCAGAGTGGCCCATATTGCAAGAACAAAAAAGCCCTACCACAGTAACATCGCCTTTCACACTAGGCGCAATGCACTTAGGGTGGCAGAAGTCTGGATGGACCAATACAAATCAAATGTCTATTTGGCATGGAACCTCCCAATGAAGGTAAGCACTTGACATATTTGCAGTATTATAATAATAAATAGTATAATACTTCACTCTCTTTGTCCATACAGAACCATGGCATTGACTATGGAGACATATCCCAGAGACTAGCGTTCAGGAAAAGACTCCAGTGCAAAAACTTTGAGTGGTACCTCGACAATATCTATCCAGAGATGAGGATATACAACAACACTCTCTTTTATGGAGAGGTGAGTACATTAAATGAATAAAGTTGCGGTCACATTTATTATCGTTTGGCAAATTTTCATGGACGAAAGATTTCCCTACACAGAGTTCACAATGGGTTCAATATGGATTTGCAGTGTTGACCAACAGAAAGCTGCTTGGTTTGAAAGTGACTCCTGTGTGCGCTGTGCTTTATACATCACTACAAACTGACAAGATAATGGACCTTTTTTGCCTACAAATTTTTTCTAATGTGACTGCACCTTAACACTGGGTCTCTGAATAACACACCCAAAATTATTTATTCACCCTCATGTCCTTCCAAACCTGTCTGACTTTCTACTATGAAACAAAAAAAAAACACATTTTGAAGAAGGTCCTCAGCGCACTTTTCCATACAATGAAAGTGAATAGGGACTAGGGCTGTTAAGCCCCCACAAATGACAAAAATAACCATAAAAGTGTCACGCAAGTGGTCAGTTTGACTATATTCAAAGTCTTCTGAAACCAATGATATAGTAGTGTGAGGAGTCTACCAAGTTTAAAACCATGATTTGGCTAAAATCTTACCAATCATCTTACTGCAGCATTCAAGTTTTGTACACGTTTATTCAAAAATATTGACAAGTCATGCAATGATTTCATATTAGTTACCACTGTGACACCAAAATGGTGTTTAGAGTCAATGAAGCCAAAACTTAAATTTCAACTGGCTCTTCACACAACGCTAGCGTATGGCTTTAGAAGTCATATGAACCACTTTTGTGAAACTTTTATGATGCCTTTCTGTCATTTTTGGAGTTTAACAGCACTAGTTTTCTGTCAAGGAGCCAGAAATATTCGTAATATACAAAAAAAGCGATGTGATGAGGGTGAGTAAATGGTGACAGAATTTTCACTTTTGTGTGAACCATCACTTTAAGAAGGCACTGCATCGTTAATTATGTCTTAGTTTTATCAAAACAGATTTCATAGTAAGAGAATAACGTTTTAATCAACAAAAAGCAGGCCAAACTATCAGCTGCTTACATCTTTTTAATGTGTTCTAGATACGCAATACCAATGTGACCCATCTGTGTGTGGACCAGGGCATAAAGGAAAACCACACAGCAACTCTGCACCCCTGCCATGGCTGGGGCCCTCAGGTAGAGCGGCACTCCTCACAGCCTATACATCTCCACAGACCTAACTTCCACTAAACCTCTACTCACTCTGCACGCAGGAAATAGGTTACGTCTAGAGGGAGTCTCTTCATGACATATTTCTCCGCATTCTGTTCATCTGGCAACTAAGCAACGAAATGAAAAGATGGCGCGAAACAAGAAAGAAATTCTATTTTCTAGTTATAAAGTCAATCTGGAGACTGTAACTTCTAGATCTAGTCTTGACAAGTTTGCATATCTGCATTGGAGCTTGACCTAGCTAATAATTATAATAAATTAATAGTCATTATGGAACTGCCAAAAACTATCTGGCAAACATCATCAGCATAGGGTGCCAAAATGCCCCCGAATGACTCAGTGACCCAGTTACCAAATCACTGAATGAAATAAATTCATATTATCCCCTCTGTGGTCTATTTTGTAGCTGGGTCGCTACACGAAGGAGGGTTATCTTTTCCTGGGTCCTCTGGGAAGCACTGGTGAAGATACGCGGTGTGTGGTGGACGATAAAATCAGCAGCTACCCACAGCTCCTGAATTGTGAGAAAGTCTCTAGCGTACGCCAGAAAACTTGGCACTTTGCACAGGTGAATGGGTCATGTTTTATATAGAGCACTTTGTAAAAATGGTCCTTTTGCCTTTGATCACTAAAAGGATTCTTTTTATTTTTGTTCCCTGAAGAATGAAGCAATCATCAACCGAGCTACAGGACGCTGTCTTGAGGTAGTGCCGGCTAATATCTACTTCGGCTACGCTCTGATCCTGCGTTCCTGCACTGGCCAGAAGTGGAACATCAAGAATTTGATGAAACAGGACTGAGGGCAGTGAGTCAGCGACCTTAGAAAGTCGGGAATCTCCACAGCCTTCATGGAACTTTAGAAAATGGATCCAGTTTTGTGGAACTCATGGGGTGCTGATCATGTTTGCGTGTTTTGGGTTTTTGGTCTTACTACATTCCACATTACAAAGAATAAGACACTTGAAGACACTGCATACAGTAGGTTCCTCAGATTTCCACCTTCTGGAAAACCTCTAGACATCCTTTCAAAAATTACTGTTCTCTGAGGAACATTGGATTTCATAAGTACCTGCAAGAACTGTAAAGAACATCAATGGTTCCTCCATTAACCTTGCTGCAATGAAAGATTTTGAAGCACATAAACTATGTTGAAGTTACTTAGGTGTGCAGTATTTTCAACCATAGTTTCAACTATGAGAGCAACCAAGTCTTGAGTGCAGAAACCAAAATGACAATTAAATGTTGTAGATGATCAACTGCAAATACTCTGTACATCACTGTATGCATAATTTAAAGGATTAGTTCACTTCCAGAATAAAAAATTCCTGATAATTTACTCACCCCCGTATGATCCAAGATGTTCATGTCTTTCTGAAAAAATTAAGGTTTTTGAGGAAAAGATCTTTCTCCATATAGTGGACTCCAGTAGTGGCCAATGGGTTGAAGGTCCACCACAAATACTTGTCTTGTACTAGCTCTACCTCACGCATTACGTAATTACGCACGCATGATGTAAGTGTGTTCCACTTCGTGAAGTAGACGAGGGTAGTTTATATGGACAGACTCTCAACCCCTCGATCTTGACCGAGGGAGTGAGTCTGCTTCATATGCACACTTCAGGCCGCTCCATAGACCACAATGCAACACGATATGACGTCATCGCAGATCGCGTTTAATTTATCCCCACCCTAAACAACACTATAATATAAATAAATAATATAAATGATTGTTTTTTTTTACATTTATAACAGTCCAAGCACACCTATATACATATAGAATGCTGCACCAAACAAAATTGTAAGGGGAAAAATATAAACAATAAACCAACTCCATAGCGGATTCTAAGTGATCAAGCTTAAGACGTTCCAATTCAGCCCATTCCAAGGGTTCCGCCAGTAGTGGTCACTCATGCAATGTAATCAATGACGCACATCCGAGTAAACGAGACGGAGGGAAGTTTGCGAGTGAAGGGCATAAAAAATGGACCGGAACGCAACCCCTGTGTTTACACAGCGAATGTGCAAAGAAAGTCAAACTCCCTTTACAAAAAAAAAAAAAGGTAAAACAGCAATGTCGGACGATTTGGAGGAGAAAATGAGATGGAGTTTTTCACCCTACCCTACCTTTTTGAACCGAAGTACACAGATGAAGTACTAACCGCGCATGACCTTTCCAACATGATTACGCAATGCGTGAAGTCACACATGCACATCGCAGAGCTAGTGCAAGATGAGAATTTGTATATATATTTTTTTTAGAAAATAACCGATCGTTTGGCTAGATAAGACACTTATTCCTCTCTGGGATCGTGTAGAACCCTATGAAGCTGCATTCAGACTGCAATTTGGACCTTCAACCCATTGGCCACCATCGAAGTCCACTATATGGAGAAAAATCCTGGAAGTGAACATCCTTTAAGTCTATTCCTAAATTATACACATGCAGATTTACTTCACATCCGGGAAAACGTGTTCATATGTTCATAACAGCTTTATTTAGACTTAATTTGTAGTAATTTTGAGTTGTGCTATCTGTATTTCTTCTTACATTCTCTTGTGTTAGGTTTTCACCATCAGCGGCTATGGATCCCAGTGTGTCTTCTGTTTAAATAAGCTGTCTGCTCTGGAAATATGTTATTTATTGCATATTTATTTTCTACAGTAGCCCCTCATGAGAATGACATTATGATATGTGTGCAGTTTAACAGTAACTATGGTAACTGAGCTCTATCTGCTGTTGAATGGATCCTGTAATAGTCATACTGTTACTTTTAACCACACTAAAGCAACAAGGCCAGTATGTAGGCAATAGGAATATAGGAAAAATGATCGTCGGGGATTGTCGACCGAGTTACATAAGGACATGTTACACGAGTTATAAACTGTACATGTAACTACAGTTTCCTCAGATGTTGTTGCACCCATACCGTCTTCCATTTTGACTAGGACTGATTTGAATAAAATGGTGAACTGCTGCGTTGCAGTGCTCGGTGTCCTAAATCTAAAAAAGAATTTAAACGCCCTATATAAGTACCTCACTTGTTACTTTACCTGAGGAACTGTTGGCAACAACAAAGCAGCGTATCTAAAGATCAAAGCATGTAACACTCTACAAAAATTGTTAGGTTGTCATTTGAAGATTAGTGGCAAACACTTCAATGTTCCTGTGACAGGAGGATGATGGGCTACCAAGAGGCTGATCTGATGTGTCAAAAAGCACCAGCTGAGCTTTCTCACACAACAATCCTTCCTTCAGCAATGGTAAGGCTGTTCTAACTTAAAAGGACATCAACTGTGCATACTAATCGACCCTCTGAGCGCCTCCTACCACTGAGCCAAACCTCTCCTGCTGTGATGCTTCAGGCTCTGTGTGACTGACAACTCCCAGTCATGTGAGCCGCGCCACATGTTTGAGGGCTGTTAAATATTCAACCGCTGTTTATTATGCATTTACAACTCGAATTAGGGCAAATATTCTTTTTCATCTTTCCATATTAAACAACTCTGGCAGCTGTATCGGCAGCTCTGCTGTATAGGCCTATCGGCTTATGGATTTTCTTTGTTGCAGAGGCTTTCACATTTTATAGGAGGCTTGTTTCATTTTATGGTAAGCTGTGAAGCAGTGAGTAATTGTAGCGGTTCATAGCTCTCGAATACACATAATGACTTTGTAGTTCATAGTACAAGAGTAAATAATTTAAATAGATGATACGCCCCCATAGTTCATCACCGTTGATATTGATCATCATGATTCATTACTGGCTCATTAACTTAGTGATTCACCCTCAGAGCTTAGAGGCATGGCTGATGTGTGACTGTGAGTAAGTGTTGTATGGCTTCATATTTTGACTAAAACCCATTACTTAGCTACCATTTGTCTTTGTGCTCTGCATCTCAGTTCCAAAAGTGGTGGTACAGTCTAACTGCACTGGGACTTTGTATTAAGGCAGTCACATTGGCAAAATTTCACAGGCACAGGCAAAAAAAGGTCCTTTGTAGCATGGAGTCACTTTCAAACCAAGCAGATTTCTGTTGGTCAACGCCACAATTGGCGTGACCAACAAAAAACTAAATCTGCTAGGGGGACTTTTTGCCCTCGTGCAAAACTCCCGATTACGTGGATACCAAGCAATGTGTCTGTCATGATCCCTGTCTGTGACGCTCGTCCGTTACAGTGTCACACTTACTGTTGTACTTGTTTATATTTACTTGCGCAAATCCAGTTATTCCTATGAAAGCTATTTTCTGGCATGGGAAATTATGAGGTATTTATTACTTTGTCTCACAATTTAAGAAAAAAGTCAAAATTGCCAGATATAAACAGAATTCTGACTCACAATTTTGAGTCTACATCGCACAATTCTGTCTTTATTTCTCCACATTCTGAGTTTACATCTTGCAATTTTGACTGTTTTCTGGCAAAAAAAAAAAAAAGTAATTGAGGTCATTTTTATCTAACAATTCTAACATTTTTATGCAATAGCGAGTTATTTCTAACAATCCCATTTTTCTCTGAAAAACTATAAACTTAGAATTGCATGACAAACAGTTTTTTAAATGTGTCAAATTTTTTAAAAATGAGTCACTGAATTATTCCCTCACCCTTTCAAATTATTACTCATTTAGGACCGAAACTCCGCTGCTCTGTGTTGATAGGGGTTGATTCTGCTGTAGTCTTGTTTGGAACTATTTGGAACTACAGAATAGACAACTGTAAAGTAACTGGCAATGATAGTTTTTATCTAACAATTCTAACATTTTTATGCAATAGCGAGTTATTTCTAACAATCCCATTTTTCTCTGAAAAACTATAAACTTAGAATTGCATGACAAACAGTTTTTTAAATGTGTCAAATTTTTTAAAAATGAGTCACTGAATTATTCCCTCACCCTTTCAAATTATTACTCATTTAGGACCGAAACTCCGCTGCTCTGTGTTGATAGGGGTTGATTCTGCTGTAGTCTTGTTTGGAACTATTTGGAACTACAGAATAGACAACTGTAAAGTAACTGGCAATGATAGTGTCTAAAATACTCAGAATTAACTTACCTGCATCCTTGTGACAGTGGAACAGTGTCAATTTTGCTTGTGAGATACTGTGAAAATACTAAAGCAATTGTATTTTTTTTACCTTAAAATATCAGTTTAAAAATCATTCTGATGGTACACTGACTTCTAAGTCAAACATTTTCTGTTTCTTTCCCACATTTCCCTCCGAACGTCTGTTCTGGGAGTAATAATGAGCAAGTACGAAATCCGCGAAGAGGGCGGATTGCTTTACGGCACAGCAACAAATGCACGTGTACAGAGATCCGCTGTAATTACGACAGTGAATCCCACTCACTTAACTGTAGGGGGCTACAAAGTCGCAAAAATATACACAAACTACATACAGTTGCTTCAAGTCTGTCTATTCAGTTCACGCACCCACAACAGAGAACAGTTTTTATAGAATGATAAACAAGAGCAGCAAAAACTATATTAATCAGTAATGGGCAGTGTGATAGTCTTGAGGTAGGCCTATTTTGTCAGGAAACAGAAAAGATGCCACAAATATTACAAAAATGCTTTATTGCATAAACTCTATGCATTTGTCCTGTACATATTTGAATATGTATATTAAAATCATCTATGGGCAGCTTGCAAGAAGCTAGTCTCAACTACATAGCTAAATATTATGCATGCAAAGTATACAGATATATCATTGTGAATAACTGTAAATATGTTAAATTTTTTTTTACAATTTAATGTAGCCAACTGCACCACCACATCACCTGTGTTTGCCAAACCCTAAAGTCTTTTTTTGAAATACAACCCACTTTAAAGGGTTAGTTCACCCAAAAATGAAAATTAGCCCATGTTTTATTCACCCTCAAAGCATCCTAGGTGTATATGACTTTCTTCTTTCAGACGAATCCAATCAGCAGGGCCGTTTCTAGGCATAGGCGAGCTAGGCGGTCGCCTAGGGCGCCACCAGCTGAAGGGGCGCCAATGAGCTCACGTACTGGCTTTTTAGCAGGGTTGTGATAAAGAGTGGCACGGTCACCCTGAAATATGACTGCCGCCCCCACTGGATCCCCCATTATTGGGCTAGAGTACTGTCAATCTGACCATGCCTGTATGCCACTGGATCAGAGTGCTGTCAATTGCTGCCTGATTGTTGCATTTAAAGTTTGCATTTGGAGCGCTCAACAACGACATTAGATCAGCGGGCTCTGTCAGTGCTTTGGCAATGTAACAAATTTTTTTTGCTATGCAATAAAGCTAAGTTCAAAGGCCAATTTAAAATATTGGTACAGTAAATAAAGTGCACAAAATCAGTATTTTGTTTAGGCAGTATT